AAGGCAAACAGTGAGACTCTGTCTCAAAAAGAAAAGAATATGGTCACAGAAAAATAGCAAGGTTTAAAGAATGTTTGTGGAGTACTACCATTTGCTTAAACAAGGAAAAGAAAAAGAAGTATCTGAATTGGTATTGTTTTAGGATAATCAAGGAACACTAATATTTGTTGCCTAATTGGTGAATAACAATTAGACAAATAGGGAGCAAAGATTGAAAAGTCTTTTGACATCTTAAATCATACAAATGATTTAAAAAGTTAAATTAAAACAGCAAATTGTATCTAATAGCCAGTAAAAACATCAAATGGGGGAATAGTAGAGAAAAGGGCTAGGAAAAGTCATCAAGAGAGGCAGAGGGAGAAAGGGCAAAGTGCCAGTGTTTTATATTCCCCTTTTCCCCTTTTGGTTGCCAAGCAAAACACCAAGCCATTTTAAACCTCCACTCTCCACATCGCAGCTCCCAGCTCCTCCAGGTTCCCTGATACTTGTGTCATACAGCCTGGAATCCTCAGTGGTCCTACCTGGGGAGCCATTGGATAAAATGGGAACGCTCCGGAGGGTGGGGCTGCTTCCTCCCTCCCTGTGCGGCAGCGGGGGAGTCTCCAGCCCTCCCCCGCCACCCCCACCCCCCGGACTCCCAGGGGCTTTTAGAACACAGCTCCCCTTTCTTAGCTGTTTGTCATTTATTTATTAACTTGTGCGGGGTAGGGAGTGGGTGAGGGGTGTGGAAGTGAAGGGCTCAGAATGGGAACTTTAGAGTTACTATTAGACACAGATTGTTTTGTTTTTTTTGTTTTTTTTTTGGCCGGGGCTGGGTTCGAACCCACCACCTCCAGCATATAGGGCACTGCCCTATATACAGATAATTATGTATAAAACTACAGAAAGGTACTGCATTAAATAATTTTTGTTCCTTATTATATTGCTTTTGAATGTTTAGTGAGTCTTCTGCAGCACTTGAGAAAATAATTATACACTGTTATTACTATTTTGTCGAATTCAAATGAGATTTTTCCAGTTTTTGTATTTTGTTCTTTCTATCAACTTTTAAAAACTGTAGTCCAGATTGGACCGTGAGTTTATATTCTGTATGTCATTCGGCCTGGAGAGTTGACAGTTGCCCTAGGCCAGTTTCACTTTTGTTTCTATCTGTTTTGTGACTTTTGGCATTATCTGAAAGGCTGTTGGGTTTAACCACTAACATTCTAAAGAAGTCCAGTAGAACCGCCATAGTTGGCCACCTCCCTACATTGACCACCTGCTTCTTAAGTTGATCTACTTTTTATAGACTGGCCATGTACCACAGACACGTATCAGTGCAGCCAGCCTAGCTCCTTATATTGACCACCTCTATATGTTGACCAGTTTGTTACAGTCCCTTGGGCTGTCAACTTATATAGAGAGGTTCTATTGTATATAAAATTAAGAAGATTTGCTTTTATTCTTATTATTTTTAAAGAGAGGTTCTCACCTGTCACCTAGGCTGGAGTACAATGGCACAATAATTAGCTCACTACAACCTCCAACTCCGGGGATCAAGCAATCCTCCTGCCTCAGCCTCCAAAGTAGCTGGGATGACAGTCATGTACTACCACACCTGGCTGTTTTTATTTTTTATGTTTCATAAAAAATCTTAACTAAGTTAACTTCTTTTTCTAATCATCGGCAAATTTATAAATTTTTATAAATGTTAACATCCTTACCTTTTAAAAGCGTTCCTTTACTTGTTTGACAGTGAATTCTGTGCCCACTTGGGTCAAGCATTACATTAAACACGGCAGTGAGCACAGCCATCCCTCTCTTTGTTTTCGTGAAGCAGTTGGGGGTGGGGGACACTAACCACATCGAACAAATAGTCCCACAACTAGACACAGATAGTTACAAACTAGGCTAAGCTTGGTTTCTACAAAGCATGGACTATTTTGGGAAAATTGTTATTTTTTGTTTTTATATAGCTAACTTTGGTTTGCTTTCTATTAAACTTATTTACCATGTTTATCTTGTTCATAATAGCTCTTTTTAAAATATATCATCTCACAAAAATGTGTTTCTTCTTTTTAGCCCCAAAAGGAACACTGAAAAACGTAATCGTGAACAGGAAAATAAGTATATAGAAGAACTTGCAGAGCTGATTTTTGCAAATTTTAATGATATAGACAACTTTAACTTTAAACCTGACAAATGTGCAATCTTAAAAGAAACTGTGAAGCAGATTCGTCAGATCAAAGAACAAGGTAAGAGGCCTGAGTTCACACTTGGAAGCCCTGAGCTGGTTTCTGTTTTTCCACGATGTGAGAAGTCCCGTCAGAGTCCCTTTAATCCATTTCTTGTGCTTAAATTATTGATGAGGAAATGATGTCACAGTGCAAGATGAATGCAAGTATCACTTGCAGTGGTTTATAAATAGGCTTTATATAAAATGCAGCCGTTCCCTAAAGACAGGGCCGACTGAGGTGAGTGAGTTAGGGTGATGTAACTTTTTATCCAGTAAACTCTGTCGGGGGCCCACTGCTTCTCCGTCTCTCACCGTGGAGTTTTCGTGTCTTAAATAGCAAGTGATCTTCACCTTTGCAAGTGAGGGTCCACTTGGTGATGTGAAGCAGAAGTACGGGACTGAGCCACCTCCTGTTTCAGCTTGTCAGCACATTTGAAAAGTCTGAGCCTCGACTGGCCATGCCTCTAGATTAGAATTTCATATCTTGCATGACAAGAGCTTTGAAAGGCTGTAACCCTCTAGTAAAAATTCCTTTGTGGAGTTGAAACGCAGAGCTTGACAGCTTTCTTCCTGTGGTATTCTTCTTTTCTAAGATCATTTTATGCTTCTCGTCTTTGATAATTTTGCCTACAGAAAAATATTAAGAAAATAATATTTTTAAAAACACGTTTGATTTTGTGGTGCCAAAAATAAATCTTCCTTCAGCATGTATGAACAGTGTTTTGTGCTCAGGGCCAGTGTGTGCTTTCGACGCGTCTGTGCCGTTTTCCTGCAGGGATGGGGAGATGGTTACCTTTTGTAATTGGCCTTAAAAGCATCATCTCGGGGACTAGCCTGTCCTTTAGTATACAGGAGAAGCATATTTTAGAAAATAACCTGTCTTAGTCTTTACAGGTATATGAGCCTTAAACTGCTCCTATCATAGAATCCTATTAGCGTATTAGTATTTTCCATTTTGCTACACATGTTGAGCTAAATTCTGTATAAAATAGCTTTACAAGTATAGTTCTGTCTTCCACGAAATTAAAAATATGCACATAAGATGCATGTTATACTGTAAGACACTAGTTTCTAATACCAGTCCATTTAGAAAATCAGTCTTATTTCCTGATTCTGCATCAGAATGATAACATCCTAATACTCAGCATCCAAGGATTCTCTTCTCTCGGTGACTGTCTCAGTCTCCCTTTATCTTTTTCCTCTTTCTTTTCCCTTTGGTGTTAGAGCTAGTTACCAAAAGAGCTCAGTTTCGGCTCTGTGCCTATAGCTCAAGTGGCCAAGGTGGCAGGTTCGAATCCAGCCTGGGCCCGCCAAACAACAATGACGGCTGCCAACAAAAAAAAGCCAGGCATTGTGGCGGGCGCCTATGGTCCCAGCTACTTGGGAGGCTGAGGCAGGAGACTCACTTGAGCCCAGGAGTTGGAGGTTGCTGTGAGCTGTGATGCCATGGCACTCTACCCAGGGTGACAGCCTGAGGCTCTGTCTCAAAAAAGAGCTCAGTTTCCATCTCAATGATTTTTTTTTTTTTTCTTTCTTTCGTTCTTTTTTTTTTTATGTGGTATCAGCAAATGGATAAAATAATGTTCCTAGAACTCTTAGGAAAAATAATTGGTTAAAGTTACACAGTGCTTTGAAGTTTCTGCGTTTTAGAAAACGCTAAGTTTGATGTTTCAGGTTTCTAAGGATTTGGAATGATTCAAGGTTGTGAACATTGCATGTTAGATGGTACTTCTACATTTTAAAACAATTATATATACATTTTTAACCACAGTGAAGGTCTTACACAAGTTTTTAAAGTTTGCAAAACCTTGGTAATTCCCCTTTCTAACCATAAAACGTGTTAAGATGTGTCCTGCTGGGACTGAGCCAGGCCTTGACTGCAGCCTTCCTCGTCAGGCCGCACACACAGCCACCCAGGGCGCAGGGGTAATAAACACCCCCTCAGGTCTTGGTCTTACAGCAGTATTCCTATTAATCTGAAAAGCAACATGGTTTGAAAAGGGAAGCAAAACTCAAATGCCAAATGAAAAATAAAAAGTACGAATAGACTTTTAAGTTCTCAACTAATGAAATATTTTAAGAACATTCCTTGTGTAGCAGATTGTTTTTTAAACAAAGCAGAATCAGAAGCTACGTATGCATTGTGGTTCCAATTATGAGCTTTTAGCGCCTGGGCAAATGATTTTACCTCTTTCACTTTAACTATAACAACACCTCAGTCTTAGAGCTGTTGAAGAAATTATGAGCTGTGTACACTCACTCAGCAAGCACCTGCCATAGTACTACTTAAATGTTCAGGATTTTTCTTTCCCACAGTAAGCGGAAATGTGCTTTTTTTCCTTTACTTGTGCTAAGATCTTCAGACAGCAACCTCTTCCTTCAGATGGAAAGTGAAAGAAAAACAGGTGGAGGGATGGTTATTAATATTATCCCTGTGCCATCACGTGATGGAAGCAAAATTTTTCTGGTGCCTTTAAATCTGCAGGGCCCCTGGGTACCTCTACCAATAGCTTTGTTTGGGCCCGTTTGGCTTCTCTTACAGCTGACAGCCAGCCCAAGGTTTAAGAGTAACATAGTAGTCAGGCCTGAGCCCTTCTCTCTCACTCAGTGTCTCCCCTTGCCCCTCAGTGGTTCTCCCTGCCAGTCAGGGTAAATAAAATCCAGCTGTCATCTTTACACCTGTATCAAAACTTACTTTTGTATTTCATCAATACGAAAGCCTGAATAACTTGAATTGGAGGATCACAAGAAGGTGATCATTGGATACATGTCCCGGAGAAGTTAAATTGGACGCCACCCTGAAGAACACACACTCGGGAAAGCTGGGCTCCCCTTTATGGAAGCCCCCTCAGTGTCTGATCCTGCTGTGCATCAGGCCTGGTGGGTTCTTCCCCTCAAACCTGCTCTCCAGTCAACCGCTCCTCACCTTTCCATTTGCTTTACACATAAAGGGAATGAAGAAAGGATATTTTAAATGGCCAAAAGGATGGGAATTTGGAGGGTGACTTACCAGGTATTTAAGTTAATAGGTATTCTCTTGTGCATAACACTTTATGAGTCACTGGTGGGTAGATGCTGGTCCTCCAGAGCATTAACACGAGAATGGTCTTTGTAGAAACTGAGCAAGTACACACAAGAATTTGAGGGCTAAAGTATGATTGCCATAAGCTATGGAATTCCATACAAGCTGATGGTTTTCCTTTGGCCCACATTCATAGGTCCTTAGTTAAGTAAAGTAGGGACTTAGTAATTAAGTTAGACCTTCTACTGTAACTAACTACATTCTCTTGGAGAATTTTTATGCTGGTTAAGATGTAAATAATTCTCAGTATGCCATGCACTTTTTAAAAGTACTCAGATTTGATAACCTATCTACTACTCAAAACACACTGTGGAATAGAGACATTGTTTTTCCACTTCACAGGTGGGGAACCTGAGGCACAGATTGGTTAAGTAGTTTGGCAAAGTCACTCAGCTGCTGAGCGTTGGAATAGGGTCAAATCCAGCGGCCTCATGCCAAAGTCTGCACCATTATTGCAGCTTTTCAATACTGAAGTATGATGATGATAAATGTTTATAAATTGTGTCTTCTGTAACTTACAAACAATAATCATAAATAGCTAATAACTTTTTTCTCTATTTAGGAAAGGCTAAAATTATTTCTCTTCTACAGAAGAAGTAAGTATGAGCATATCTAGGAGACCTTACAGGTTTGGTTCCAGATCGCCACAATAAAGTGAATGTTGCAGTAAATCAAGTCACCAGGATTTTTTTGGTTTCCCAGTGCATGTAAAAGTTACATTTACACTATATTGTAAATGTATACACTCTTGCAAGTGCACACTATATCACGTGTGCAACATAAAATGACAACATGTGTACCTTAATTAAAAGTGCTTTATTGCTAAGAAGTGCTGGTAATCATCTGAGTCTGCGGCAGGTCATAATGGTTTTGCTGGTAGAAGGTCTTGTCTCAGTGTTGATGGCTGTTGACTGACCAGGGTGGTGGTTGGGATGACTGTGACAGTTTCTAAAATAAGACAACAGTGGAAGTTTGCCATGTTTACTGTTCCTTTCATGATGCTGTGTGATAGCATTTACGCACAGTAGAATTGGAGTTAATTCTCTCAGACCCCGCCACTGGTTTATCTACTAAGTTTACCTCAGCTGTCCAATCCTTTGTTGTCATTTCAGCAGCATTCATAGCATTTTAACCAAGAGTAGATTCCGTCTCAAGAAACCACTTTCTTTGCTTTCTCTTTATGGGAAGCAGCTCCTCATCGATTGACGTCGCATCATGAGACTGCAGTGGTTCGGTCCCATCTGCAGCCTCCACTTCTCATTCTGCTTCTCTTGCTATATCCACCACATCTGCAGTGCCTTCCTCCACTGAAGTCTTGAGCCTCTCAAAGTCATCCGTGAAGTTAAAATCAACTTCTCACTTCTTCTAGAATCCTATTCATGTTCATATTTTTACCTCTTCCCATGAATCACAAATTTTGGTGTTTTTTTGTTTGTTTGTTTGTTTGTTTGTTTGTTTTTTCAGAGACAGAGTCTCACTTTGTTGCCCTTGGTAGAGTGCTGTGATGTCACAGCTCACAGCAACCTCCAGCTCTTGGGCTTAGCCGATTCTCTTGCCTCAGCCTCCCGAGTAGCTGCAACTACAGGTGCCTGCCACAGTGCCTGGCTATTTTTGTTGTTGTTGTTGCAGTTTGGCCGGGGCCGGGTTTGAACCCATCACCCTTGGTATATGGGGCCGGCACCCTACCCACTGAGCCACAGGTGCCACCCAAATCACAAATACTCTTAATGGCATCTAGAATAATAAATCCTTTCCAGAGGTTTTTAATTTACTTTGCCCACATCTACCAGAAGAATCACTGTCTATGGCTGCTACAGGCTGATGAGCTGTATTTCTTAAATAATAAAACTTGAAAGACAAAATTACTCCTTGATGTAAGGGGTGTAGGTATAAAAACAGCATTCATCTCCTAATGTATCTCTAGCAGAGCTCTTAGG